CAAAAATTAAAGAAATTAAAACAGATGTTCGCTGCCTGTTTGTTGAGAAATCTGTAATAAATTTCAATATTTTCATTTCTTTTTTCCTTACTTGTTTTTCAAAATGACTTCATCAATATCAAATAATATCAACAATTTTATACACTAAAATTTATTCCTTTATTTATTCAAGTAATCAAATACTATGTAAAACATAAGAATCAGTTTGTTAAATTTATCTTGTTTTCAACTTTTATTTAAATGTTTCACGATTAATCTAATCAATTATTCTGCAGTATAAAAAATATATATTCTATCAAATTTTATTGCTTTCTTTTACCTGTCATTAACGGCTACATAGGGGGTTCGTCAAATTTTTTCGGACCTTTCTTTTGGTTCGCGAGGAAAAAAAGGTTGGGAAACACTGGTTCAGAGGATACGGTTTTCAATTTTGCAAATTTTTGCTTATAAAGGAGATATGAGGTTGAAAAAACTTTTAAAAAAATCAAATTGTAAGGCAGTTACGAGAATAAAAAGTTAGTCAATTGAAGAAATTACAATGTACACTTTGCACATGAGAACCCTGAACGTTACTTCTGATTTTTCCCTACTTGGGACAGGGCAGGGATTCTATAATGTTCTTAAGAAAAATTTAAATGATCCATGTCTGCTTTGTTCGTCAAATTTATTTAGCGATAAACGAACCAATAATATTGGTGACCGTGGTTCAGGTTTTGAGTTGGTTTTAGTCACCTACGGCATGGTGTCGAATGCGAAACGTAGTGAAGAAGAAAGATGAATACTTTCCCTTCGAATGAGGAGATGCAGAAGTAAAATATATATAATTAATAGAAAACAGGGGGAGTAGGAAGTGCCCTCGTATAAATTTTAACATTAATCAAAAATTGTTTCTGCGAATGTGTATATCATGGGGAATAATGATGATCCTTCATTTTGGATCTTGTCTCTTAAGTAAAGCTTTCTATAAGCGCCTTTCCGCCCCCAGGATATTTATTATGTATTAAAACTAGCGAAAGTTTTTGGATTAACCTTTAAAATTGATACTTCCCGATATCATGCCGCAAGTTTCTAAAACAGTCCCCGGATTGTTCGTTAAAAATAGCATATTTTCCTTAATATGTTTTCTAATAAAAATGTCAGGAGCGGATGCGGACATACGGGACTACAGTGGCCGCAAGCCAAACCAGTACAAACGAAGCCAAAATACGGTCGCTAATAAGGACACATACAGTGAGTACCACTACAACAACCCTAGTAACGGCAAGCATGTGCCGCGTACGAAACACCAAAGTTTCCTTCGCAAAAACTTCACCCCCAGCCATCAGCGTCGCTACAAGTACAACACCGCCGACGCTGCTCCTGCTTCTCCTCCCTCTTCCTCGCTGATGCCCGACGTCGGTGGAACTGCCGCAGTCGGAGTGCACAGTAGCTTCTTTGGCTCTTACAACACAGGCACTTATTGATCAATCGAGGAAGGGGGACGGATGATCGACTCCTGCATGAATGCTTTTCGGACGGGCCATTTTTTTTACTACCCATTGTTATGGTTTTTAGTAGGACTACTACACAATTATAAACGATGTCGTTGGGGTTTATCAAACCACCTTCATAACACCCCTTACATTGACCTAATAGAATGTAGTTTTATAAGTTTGGTGTACGCTGCAGATACTTAAATATTGTCACATTAATTTTTGCGGTTTTTGGTCTCCGTCACTCACGTCATTCGTACTGTAAATTAAGTTTGATTTCTTTCCTTTGATTATTTTTTTTTGTGCTACTTAAGTACGTATAAAATTTTCCAAAATATGGTATCAGGACCATCACAAAATGACAATAACTATCTCCCTTCCCCCATCTGATGGGTCCTGACACTTAATATTTCAATAGTTTCTCAGGTATGATAAATTGATATCACCTGTAAAAATGTCAGATAGCAATTTATGATTTACCAGCGCCCTGAAGGGCGCGTTCTACGGAGATGATAATTATTTTACAAATTAATTAAATATTAATTAATTAACTACATTTTTTTAGTTTTGGATATCAATAAATTTCATTGAGTACAGTTACATTTTCTCAAGATGCTTAACAAACAACTCGCTCAAGTCTTTTGAGTTCTAATCTAAAATAGTTTAGAATTTTTATTTGACTCGATGGATCATTTATTAAGCTAATTAACTGCTAGTTTGATGTCTGTATCAAAAGTTGTAGCTTATTATAATTATTAGCTCCCTCGAAACCGTTTATTTTAGTTTGATGTAGTAGTTGTAAACTGTTAAGTAAGTAAGTAGCTTTAGGCAAGTTAGAACTTTGCACGCTGTATTGGTTTAGAAGAGGTTTGCGAGTTCTTGCTTGAGGGGAGTCTACCAAAGCTTGTTATTGCAGTAAAAATAGCGAAGTACTTATATTGTATTTAAATACTTTGTCGCTTTATATATAGCAATATATTTGGATAGTATTATTCTTGATATACCAAAACAGTATGTACATATATTGTACGTTATTATAATTTAAATTATCATTAAATATAACTAAGGGTGCTATAAAGTCGATTTAGTATTCAAGTTTTACTTAATTAAACAAGTATTTATATATATACGCGTACGAACAGGGTCCCCGTTAGTTAAACTTAGTTGTAGTACTATTTCATAGTTGAAAGAAGTTTGAATTTAAAAACTATGTAATTAGCACATTTTACACCTTATTGTAGTTATTGTTGAATGTTGTTCAACTTTTTAACATCACACTGAATATGTTTGGCTGTAGATACTTTGAATACATACCAAAGATTAAACAGTTAAACAAGAATAGTTATACGAGAAAAAAACGTATATTTTGTTTTTGTTATTTTTATTAGAAAGTATAAATATTTTGTTGTATTTATTTTTTGCAGAATTTATTGTATTGTTTTACATTATATTTTTTTGCATTGGTGGTGGAATGAAGTAGAAAGCATGTATTTGCTTAATTAGATAAATGAAGTTTTTTTTTGTAGTATATCCTATTTAAATAAATTTATTTATTTATTTATTCATTTATTTACGCCTACAGCCTCTATGCGTG